GCTCAGACTGGTCTTGAACTCCTGACCTTGAGCGATCCACCCGCCTCGGCCTCCCAGAGTGCTAGGATTACAGGTGTGAGCCACCACACCCGGCCCACAAAGATTTTGATAAGGGATTCGCTATGGCTGAAATAATGAAATATGAAGATTTTAAAGAGGAAATGCAGTCAAGGCTGCTGGAAAGTACAGACAACAAGGCACACATGATACTGTTGAAGATGGAGATAATATCTTCTTCAAATTTAATACACCTCAACAACAAAAGAGGAAATAGATTTTAGTTATTACTCAGAAAAATGTACAACTTCCAAAGGCATATAATTTTTTAAAACTAAAATTTCTGAAAACTGAAGGGACAAAGTTGGGGAGATAGGAATCTTCTACAAATTGTTTTTGTTTTGAAACTAAAATACTGTGTACCTCCAGTGAAATGCAAGTTCACTAAATGTGAACAGCTTTGCTTTTTACATGATTAAGACCCCACTGGAAATTGTAGAAGCCTTTCAGGAACCATATTACTCCTATAATACTTCATTAATCTCCATCATGTATGCCAAGCCTGATATATTTGACAGTGAGGACAATGTGGCTTACTCCTGTTTGAATCTACAGATAATGCATGTTTGACAGTACTCCAGATGTCTACACTATTATAAAACATTTGACAAAACAAAAGATGATTTTAAAGCCTTGTTCCTCAAATTAGGATACAAGTATACTCGGGAGTAGTGGGTTGCTGGTGCCCCTCAACCCCAAGACCCGAAACTCCAATACGTGATTGTCTTGAAGTGCCCCCACCCTACCTGGACAAATTGTCCTGACATGTTTGGATTCCCCTAACTCCCCTGGGCAGATTTAGGCAATTCTTTCTCCTTGCTCCCATTACAATAAGTCTCATCACTGTCTGTTCTTTCTCAGAACTAGACTATAAACTCTTCATGGGCAGAGGGTGTGCCTTTTCATTTTTGTATTTCCAGTATCCAGGATAGTGGCTTTCCTTCCATTCATCTGACGATCCACTTGTCTCCTGCCTTGTTTCAGAAAGGATTTAAGTTGTCTCAATACTTGGAAAATAAAAGGCATTCAAAACCATTTATAAATTAACGAGTGAATCAATTCATGTTGTGGAAATACTGGCAGAATTGCTGCACATCGGAAGGGAGCAGGTGCTGGAGTTGGACCACAAAGGCCAAGCCACCAAGCCCCTCGGTACAGAGGCTGGGAGCGGAGTGGGGGGGACCGGTGCAGCCACACAGGTCCCTGCTGATAACAGGGTCATCCTGACTGTTCCTTTTGGGTTACTTTCAGTACAGACAAAGTAAAAAGGAAGTCTTGACATGCTGTCTAGGATGAATGCCTAATCCATTTAGAGGTGTTTAATTTCTATAAGGCATGTGTAGCCCAGGAAATTAGAAATAAGGATGATTTAAACAAGCACACAAATTCATGCACCTTTATAAGTACTCTCCTTTAAATTTGTCTCCTTGACAAAATAAGTTCAAGAGATCTAGATCTACTGTACAACATGGTGACTATAGTCACTATAGGTGACTGTATTGTATTCTTGAAGTGCTAAGAGAGCAGACTTTAAGTATTCTCATCACAAAAAATTGATAAGTATGTGAAATAGTGCATGTTAATTAGCTTGATTTAGCCACTCTGCAATGTATACATATTTCAAAACATGTTGCATACAATATAGACAAATTTTTGTCAATCATAAAATTGGTAATAAATTTTTAAAAGTCTGTCTCCTTGAGAAAGAAGGCACTTATTCTAGTGTGTTGGCATTGCTCAAAATATTTTGACAGTTTCCCTTTGAATCTGTCATTAGAGACAAATGTACAACATCCTGTCTCATTAATTTAGTCCTGAGGCCAGGCACAGTGGCTCACGCCTGTAATCCTAGCACTCTGGGAGGCCAAGGTGGGAGGATCACTTGAGGCCAGGAGTTTGAGACCAGCCTGGGCAATAGCAAGATGCTGTCTCTACAAAAAA